CCAGTCCCCTAATCATATTTGTTGCTCTTCTCTGCACTCTTTCTAGAGTCTCAACATCAGTGCATCATGAGTGCACCTAAGACCCCACTTCACGTCCATTGCTGGGTGATTTTGAACCTGTTATTCTCCCTCAATCAAACTTGCTGTACAAGTTGTATTGGTTAAATAATTCCCTTGCAACCCTGGAGGAAAATTTGATTTAAAAAACCCACATTGGTTGTCAGCAGTCAGCAACGAATAAGGTCTGAGTGTGTTAAATGGTTTCCTTGAACCTCACTCTGATACATTGAACTAAGGTGTCATATTTTATGTGAATTTAGCCCATGGTTTATCAACTGTTAAAACATACGATGAACAGTTGCAGGAATTGAATATGTCTAGTTTAGTGAAAAGAAGGACCAGGGATGACATGATGGCAGTCTTCTGATATTTGAGGGGCTGCCACAAAGAAGAGAGAGTCAAGCTATTCTCCAAAGCATCAGAAGGCAAGTCAAGAAGCAATGGATGGAAACTAGCCAAGGAGAGAAGCAACTTAGAACGAAGGAGAACTTTCCTAACAGTCAGGACAATTAACCAGTGGAACAGAAGTTGCCTCCAGAAGTTGTGTGTGCTCCATCACTGGAGGTTTTTAAGAAGAGATTGGATATCCATTTGTCTGAAATGGTGTAGGGTCTCCTGCTTGAGCAGGGGGCTGGACTAGAAGGCCTCCAAGGCCCCATCCATCTCTGTTATGCTGTTATTATTCTGAGAAATCAGACTGCAATAAGGACAGATCTGTCGATCCCTTTCCAGCATGTCCAGCTGCAGAGCTCACAAAGAAGCTGTTCATTTGGCAGTGAGACCAAATCGGAAGGGAGTAAACTTCTGACAGGAAATAAGGAGTGACCTCTGACCACAGTCTTTTTCAACAGTGACACCAAGCAGCAAATCCCTGGAGAGACTTTGTGATGGGCAGCCCAGGATGGAGGGAAGCGGTGGCTGAGCCAGGGTTAGGGATCTTTTCCTCCCCAATAGATCCTCTAGATTTTTGAGTGGAGGATTGGTGCTAAGGTTGGATCTAGCCGGGCTCTGAAGCCAGATTAAAAGGCTGTTCATAAGAAGGTTGCCAGGAAAATATTTTTCTAGGGGGAAACCAGAATGAAAAATAATATCCTTTGAACTCCGAGGATCAGCTGTGCAAACTGCCTTGTAAAATATAAACTTTTCAGCTTGTGTGTTGTGGGTAAACTTTACAAGCCAGGGTGCGAAACGCCTCATCCGGAGACATGATTTCATTGAGTTATCGCTCAGTTTAAATGCTACTGTTGAAGCCTTTCAATTGATTTAGCTTAGTAAAACCTACAAACAGATCTCAATAAATGTACCGTTTTGAGTTACCGGTTAGCAACAATTGCTACCAATTCCTACCCTCCCCACCCCAATGTATTTTGAGCATTTCTTTCCCCTGTTATAGTAAAATCCGATTGGCAAAATAGTGTGAAAAATAAGCAAATTATATTTAGCTAATAGTCTGAAATTCTAAATTTTATTCTATATAGAATAGAATATAAATATAAATTATATTCTGTAATGGTCTGAAATCCTAAATAGCAGACTTATCAGCCAATTAAGCTAAAGTAAGTTTGTGGTTCTAGAGAGAAGTTTCCTTCCTTCATTAGTTTTCAGAAATCTTCCTTCCTTCCTTCCTTCCTTCCTTCCTTCCTTCCTTCCTTCTTTCCTTCCTTCCTTCCTTCCTTCCTTCCTTCCTTCCTTCCTTCCTTCTCTCCTTCCCTCCCTCCCTTCCTTCCGATATATTTCAAGCATGAGAAATTAGATAGCTGTCACTCTAATTTAGGTTTCCCTTCCTATATAGATTGATTGTTTAAACTGTATTCAAGATACAGGAAATGTGAATTTCATCTGATTGAGTTCTTGTAGTCCAATGACGCCTAGGAGATGATGGGAGCGAACAGCTCAGATTTGTGGTGCCTTAATGGAGGCAGAAACACAACTAGCTGTGGGCTATTTCTTGTATTTTCACCCCCATCCCATCCTCCCTGAAGGAGGAGAACCACCCATTGTGAATGACGTAAACAGACCTCTTAGTCGATTTTTTTTCTTCTTCTTTGTTTTAGTGTTTACCTAAAATAAAGATCATTTTTCCTGAGTTGTTTTTCCAAGAGGATCTAGAAGCCAGTTCCTGTTAATTGCCTAGCTGTAGTCTTTGCTGCTATCTATAGTTGTTTTCTAAGGGAGGGGATTTTTCCATAAGCTCTTGAAATTGTTTGGCTGGAGACTGGTTTTCACATTACCGGAGCATTTTCCATGGTTCCACCCTGTCCAAAGATAATGTTAAGGCCATTCTTTAACAAGCTTTGGATGTAGTTGCTGACTGTTATAAATCAACCGTGTCACTTCTGTGTCATCTTCACACTTCGAAACAAAACACAAGCACCAGGAGAGAACTGACCGACAGAACTGACGGTAGAAATGAAACCCTTCCCGATGTGAGAACTGGGTCAAACTGCTGTATTTTGTCCTTTAATTTATCTAAACTGAATGTTAAAATAGTGCTGATGAGGTGGCAGTTTTCTTGACAACAATATAAGAAATTGGTTTGTCTTTCATTGAGATGCTGGTTTTTTTTAGTTCTTCAACTAGACTACAGCCCTGGAATATCCCCTGAAGACTGTTTAGCTTTTTGAAGATCAAGGTTGGCTAGATGCTAACACCTGCTTTGTAACTACAATGAACAAAAAACCCAAAACATAGTAACAGAAGACACTGGGAATGGCTTGATGATACTGGCAACAGTAGGTTTGCTGCCAAGTCTTGGTAGAAAACTTTCTGAACGGTGATTCTGATTTTGCTGTGAGAAAACCCAAAGAGCTTCTTTCCTTCCCTTCCCTTCCCTCCTCTTTCCCTTTCTTCCCCTTCCTTTCCCTCTTCCTTTCATTTCCCTTCTCTTCTCTACCTCTTTTCCATATACAATTTTTATTAAAACTTTTAAAACTTTTAACTTTTAAACAAAAAGATAAAACTAGGGCAAACGAAAACAAAGCAGGGAAGAAGAAAGAAAAATGAAAGAAACCAAAGAAAGATCAAAGTGCAAGTAAAGTTGAAAAAAATAGAAGAGAAAATTTTCTCTCTTTCAATATTCTTCCCAGCAGACACAAGTATATATTTTATTTTAACCTCTCTCTCTATATATATCTATATCTATGGAGCTTCTCAGTCATCCAGGTCAGGATTGTCCCAAAGGTGCTTTTTCAAGAGGCAACTGGACTTTCTGGTTCTTCTTAGAAGATGTTTCACTTCTCATCTAAGAAGCTTCTTCAGCTCTTCTGAAGCTTCTTGGATGAGGAGTGAAATGTCTTCAAAGAAAAACCAGAAAGTCCAGTTGCCTCTTGAAAAATGCACCTTTGGGGCTCTCTCTCTATAGTTATATCTTTCTGTAATCCAACTTGTCTAATCATCAACAACACAAGTTCATTTTTTTTTTCATGAAGTCCATCACTGGCAGAATTCCAGTCATCAATAATTATGTCTTTCTCTAATCAAAAGAAATCAATTCATCCATTTTGACCCAAACTATCAAATTCACTAACCATTCCTCCATGGTGGTTAGTGTTGAATTTTCCCAACACCCGCTGCCTATTCAATGGGCAAAGAGATGACAACAAGGAAAACAACAAAGGGACAACCACAAATGTCTTTTAAAACATGTACACATTCAGAACAATACAGTGTCAGCCAGAGCCTGTTGCTTACGTAGTAATGTGCAAAATGGCCTTTGGAGTATTATGTTTAATAAAAATTGGAAATGTATTTAATTTTAACAATGCACGTGTGGCCAGTTTGAAGAACAGAGAAGACGTCTACTCAAGCAATGTACTCATTTGGGCAACGGAGCGATGAAATCATAAATCCGAGCACGGTAGAAGCTTTACTTCTTAGAAAGAGGAAAAAATAGCATCTGATACTTTTCTCTTATGAATGAAAGATCCTCGTCTAAAGCAAGAATGAAAAATTCTATCTTAACAATTTCATGTCTTGGCACCTGAAAAAAAAAATCTTTCTCTTACAGAAATTAAAGAGCAGAAGAAGAATTTCTGCTGTGGGGACATCTTGAAGTGAGCTTCCAGTTTCAAATCAGACCAAATCCTTATCCAGTCTTAGACCAGCAAATAAAACACAAAAGGGCCACAATTCATTAAGATAAAAGAAAAAAAAAGTTGCTATTCTAAAATATCGAAAAAGCATTAGATTTAATACCGTGGCTTATGGCACAGAGCAGTACTTGGTTTTGGTCAAGGAAATAAAAGCAAGGAAATAAATTCAGATTGATCTGACACTAACATCTTATTGAGATAAAACAAATTGAAATGACCAGGATGCTTAGTAAAGAGTGGAAATAATTCTTGGCCTTCATAGAAAGGGAAATGCAGGTAGTCCTTGACTTACGAGCACAACTGACCCCCCCCCCCAAATTTTTGTTGCTAAGTGAGAAATTTGTCAAGTGAGTTTTGCCCCATTTTAGGACTTTTCTTGCCACAGTTGTTAAGTTAGTAACACAGTCGTTAAGTGAATCTGGCTTCCCCATTGATGTTGCTTGTCTCAGAAGGTTGCAAAAGGGGATCACCTCAGGACATTCCACCGTCATAAATGTGAGTCACTAGTCAAGCGTCCGAATATAAGCCATGTGACCAGGGGGATGCTGCAATGAATGTTCATAAGTCTGAAACATGGTCATAAGTCACTTTTTTCAGTGTCGTAACTTCGAACAGTCCCTGAATGTATTGTTGTATGTGGAGGAGTACTGGTAGAGAACAATATGCTCTTTCAATTCAATTATTTCTCCACTTCATTATCAATTATTTCTCCACTTCATTATCAATTATTTCTCCACTTCTCCACTTCAGTTTTCTCAGAGGCTTGTTGAGTTCAAGGCTGCAAGAGACAGGTTCGCATGGAATAATATTTAAAAGAAAACATTTTTCCCTTCTTTTCTTCCCATCCAGAAAGAATCTGAGGAACTTACTGTGTGAGATCACATTTGCCTTTGTTAGCAACAAGCAAGTGGGAGAGATAACTCAAACCAGCAATTTTACTCCTAAATGGTGAGTCATTCAATGATACAGAGAATAATATCATTTGATTATGCTGCTCTACAGGTGTTCAGATTTATACAGAAATTGCAAGTGGAAGTAACTGTTAGTAGCTGGATTTGACTATTTTTCCCCAAAAAATTAATATGGGTAATGTAATGTTTAATTAATAACCTGCTTTTAAATAATTAAATGGCTTTTGACCTCATTGGTCACTAACGGATATTGTAGTATATCAGATGAAGGGGTGATTTTTTATACATTCACTTTCCAGCCAGGCTTGCAAATATTAGTCTCTGTTTCGAAGTGAGGAATAGTTTGTGCAAAATAGTTTGCTCCAGGCACAATGACAGTCCGAGGAATTTAAGCTTCTAGTTTCTCTCTAGGTAAAGGAAAGAACTAGGAGAAGAAGCTATTGGAATTGAAGATTTGCCATTAATCATTGGGAGGACAGTTTGTTGATGGGCTTGAGTTAACCCTGAGAGAATATGAACCTTATGAATGTCTTTATGGCACCGTTATTGATAAATTGTGGGATGTTTTGGGCCAGCTACAATTTTGTAGTTGGGCAAATGTTTCTCCTTTTTCGTTCTGGGTCTCACCGTGCTCATGATTAGCTTATGAACCACAAGATTTTACTAGAAAAAGAAGAAGAAGCTGGATTTGGTTGAATTCAGTTTAGATAATTTTTAATCTCTTGGTCCTCCAGAGATGATGGCAGAACCTCCTGGAAACTAATCAAAGAGATCCAACCCAGAACTACCAAGAAATATCCTGTCAGTGACAACAATTAATCAGTGGAATAGTTTGCCTTCAGAAGTTGTGGGTGCTCCATCACTGAGTCAGAATCGAGCTGGACAGAACCTTGGAGATCTTCTAGTCCAGCCCTCTGCTCAATTTCAGACAAGTGGCTATCCAGTCTCTTCTTAAAAACTTCCAGTGATGGAGCACCCACAATTTCTGAAGGCCAGCTATTCTTCTGGTTAGTTGTTCTAACTGTCAGGAAATTTGTCCTTAGTTCCAGGTTGCCTCTCTCCTTGAATAGTTTCCATCTGTTGTTTCTTGTCTTACCTTCTTGGTGCTTTGGAAAATAAGTTGACTCACTCTTCTGTGTGGCAGCCCTTCAAATACTGGAAGACTACTATCATGTCCCCCATCATACATCTAGACTGGCCATACCCAGTTCCGGCAACCATTCTTCTTACGTTTTGGTCTCCAGGCCTTTAATTGACTTAGTTGCTCTTCTCTGCACTTTTTCCAAAGTCTCAACATCTTTTTTTGTAATGTGGTGACCAAAACTGGATGCGGTATTCCAATTGTGGTCTTACTAAGGCTATTAACACTTCACGTGATTTGGAATCAAATTCTGCTGGATGTTTTCAAGAAGAGATTGGGCAGTCACTTGTCTGGAATGGCAGGTGTCTTCAAAACTTGATGGCTTGAAGACTTGTGGGCTTCAACTCCCAGAATTCCTCCTCCAGTTCATATTAGCTCAGGAATTCTGGGAGTTGAAGGCCGCAAGTCTTAAACTCGCCAAGTTTGAAGACCCTTAGTCTAGGGTCTCCTGCTTGAGCAGGGGGTTGGACTAGAAGACCTCCAAGGTCCCTTCCAACTCTGTTATTCTGTTACTCTGGTAGATGTTCAGTGTTATTGTAAAAGAAAGGTGAGGGGAATAATTAGCAGGAGGGAACTTACTGGCTAAGGCGTATTAAGGGCCTAATCCCACTAAGAAGGAGCTCCTCTTTTGAGACCATCTACCGAAGGTGATGCTTTCATTGTTCCTTTGTTAGGAGCTGCTTGGTACCTTTCAAGAAAGAGAGACAGAGGGCAATTCTAAGGGCACGCAGGGCTTCCTGTGGTTTTTAGTATTAAATCGTCTTCATGCTTCAGTTGAGTGCGCCGGATAGGAGTTTGCAGATGGCTTCGAGGCAATTCATCTATTTATCTTCCTACTGCCTCTAAGTTACCTTGAAGCAAAAGAGGATGGTTGCTAAGCAACTGCTCACATGCCTTTTCCGGCTTCTAAGATAATCATTAGAACAAGAGGAGAACATCTGCAGGAAACAGGGGTTAGATCTGGCTTAATATGTTGACCCTCATAAATAGGCAGGCCTAATGATAAGCTAGCATGGAAGTCCAAAAAACACCTCCCTCCAACAATCCTCTCTTACGACTCTTCTGTGAAAATCAAGGAGGTTATCTTTTAACGTCATTCCTTTTTTCTCATATATTTACTAGCTCTACACTATGTGGTGGGGCTTACGTTTTTGGGGAGGAAAATAAGGAGCTAAAATTGTGCCTCTGCCTACCAGCATCCATCGGTATTCATCTGGCTGGCATCCTGCCAGTGTGTGAGAGAGCTGAGGGCTGTTTGGAAACCGAAACATGGAATCTGAAACAGTATTTTGCTGTGTGAGCAAGAAAGAGACAGCAAGGAGCCTGGGCGTGGCCTAGCTCAACTGTTCTTTACTAAAGCTGCTTGCTGCTGTGAAACTGAAACTCCTCTCCTCTGCTTGTGTTTTGCATTGGGAAGAGATTTATTTCCAGGTGGGGAGGGGGAGTAGAACTCCTTAGCATCAGAGCGTGTTAATAATGATATACAAAATACTAATGCTCTGATGGTCATTTTGAAAAATCCTTCCTTAGTGAAGCCAAGAGGAACATACGTGCCAAATTTCAAGTTTGTAGGCTTTACGGTTCTGGAGCTTTTGTGACGATGCCTGAGTGGCATTTCACTTTTATATAGAGAGGTGGAAAATTGCTCCTTGACAAAATTCAAGCTTGGAGATCGCACTCTGATTTACTTGACGGCCATGAAGGTTTGTCCTTATATTTAGTAGCCTTTGACTTGCAACTGTTCGTTTAAGTGAGCTTTTGAAATTACAACGGCACTGGGGGAAAAAAAGTGATTTATGACCATTTTTCAATCTTACCACCGTTGCAATATTCCCATGGTCACGTGATCAGAATTCGGATGCTTGGGAGTGGGTTTGTGTTTATGACGGTTGGAGTGTCAGTGGAAATCCAGATTAACTTTGTGACCAATGCTACTAATTTAACAACTGCAGTGACTACTTCATCATTGTGGCAAGAAAGCTTGTAAAACAGGGCAAAATTCTCGTAACTGTCTCGCTTCGCTGCAGAAATGTTGGGCTCAATTTGGTCGTAAATTGAGGAGTACTGTAAACTAACTCTGTAATTTAAACTCCTAATCCCAGGAGTGGTATAAGACGTTTATTGTACTTTATTAATTAGGATGATAATTGTGTGCCTTTCAATGTATTAAAAAACACTGTACTATGGAAACAGAGTCAATTTATTGAGCATCTTAACCTTGCATCTATTACAGTGTAATCGTTTTTAACGTTAAAAGCAGATTTATGCAAAAGAAAATAGGTAGGAAAAATGTTGTATATAAAACGCTCTATTATTAAAGCAGTCGGAAATTCAAGCAGTTTTTTTCCTGAGTAATTAGCCCCCTTTTAACTGATTAACAAATAAATCCATTGATTTAAAACTAAAATACAAGTTTAATGCAGATTCTTTCTTGAAATGCTGGGGAAAAACAACCAACATGCTTAATTCAAACGAAAACAAAAGGCTGTTTTCTGTTAAGTTTTCAGTTGAAATAATGTTCCAGAACTGACCTGGCTTGAAAAATAAATACCTTGTTGTAGTCAGTTGTGATAATGTAGTGAAGGTTTAGAAAGATGCCTGTGACCACATCCCTGGTTGTTCTGGTATGAAGAATCCTCTTATTTCTGGGCCCTTAATACCCATTGTTAACATTAAACTATTGGAAGGGATTTTGACACAATTAGAATATAGAATAATAGGGTTGGAAGGGACCTTGGAGGTCTTCTAGCCAACCCCCTTCTGGAGCAGGAAACGGTATACATTCTGGACAAATGGCTGTGCAATCTCTTTTTGAAAGCCCCCAATGTTGGAGCTTTCACAATTCTAGGAGGCAAGTTGTTCTACTAATTCTCACTATCAGGGAATTTCTCCTTAGTTCCAGGTTGGACGTCTCTTTAATGATCCTTTACTTCTTCTCCTGCCCTCAGGTTCTATTGAGAATAAATTGACCCCCCCGCTTCTTCTCCGTGACAGCCCTTCAAATATTGGAAGTTGGCGGTCATGTCTCCCCTAAAGCCTTCTCTTTGTTAGACTAGACGTACCCAGTTCCTGTTCATTGTATGGTTTTAAGTCTCCAGAGCCCTTATCATCTTTGATGCTCTTCTCTGCACTCTTTCTTAGGGTCTCATATCTTTTTTTTTTTTTTGGTATTGTGGTAACCAAACCCGATGTCAGTAATAAATAGAATAGTAATACAATTCTTTATTGGCCAAGTGTGATTGGACACACAAGGAATTTGTCTTTGGTGCAAGTGCTCTCAGTGTACATAAAGAGAAAAGATACATTCGTCAAGAGTTAACAATCATCAGGTCCAACACTTCATGATAGTCATAGGGCACAAATAGGCAATAAAACCATACTGAATGAAACCATAGGAAACAGTCAATATAAATTGTTAGGATACAAGCAACAAAGTTACAGTCCTACAGTCACAAGTGGGAGGGGATGGGTGATAAGGAGTGATGAGAAGATTAATAGAAATAGTAGTGCAGACTTTGTAAATAGTTGGACAGTGTTGAGGGAATTATTTGTTTAGCAGAGTGATGGCTTTCGGGGGAAAACTGTTCTTGTTCTAGTTGTTCTGGTGTGCAGTGCTCTATAGCGTCATTTTGAGGGTGGGAGTTGAAACAGTTTATGTCCGGGATGTGAGGGGAGTGTAGATATTTTCACAGCCCTCTTTTTGACTCTGTTAAATCCATTACAAGCAAGGACTCCGAGGCAGGGAAATTCCTCAAAGAATAGCTTTATTAGAAATATCATATTGGCACATATCTGATGAAAACCAACTATGAAGGGTCCCTCAGTTTTCACCTAATTAAAAGTTTTTCCCTTAACCCCAAACAATCAGTCACACGGCCCAATCACAGCAGCATCCG